CCGGTTCAGATGTAATAGAGGCGGTTCAAAGCAAATCTAGCGGTTGAAAACTGGTGGATAGAGGTTACCAGACAGTTGAAGGTAGTAGAAGGAATAATTGAAACTATTTTTTTAGTAGAAAATGTAGTTATTTGATATTAAGATAAATATAGTGAAAAGAACACACACATGACAAGAACACATATATCTTCTATAAATCTTTATCATTTTATTAGTTTATCCATAGGTTTTAGGAGATTACCTTAATTTCTTGTTAATTTATGTTTCCAATATGTTTTTATCCACTTTCCAGTAGTTAGTAGATGTTAGTTTAAATTCATTGAAATCGGTCGTTTAGGCTCAAAGCCTCGTTTAGGCTCGAAGCCGTGCAGGCTCCACCATAGGAGCTACCCCAAATTCGACGACGGACAGGCTCTTTGGAGTACTTCCGAAACCCATACCGACGGAATTGACAAACAGTCTTGGAGCCTCTGAATTTTAGGTTCCAACTTGTGCACTCTGGGTAGATCTTCGGTTGAACCTAATAGCCTGCAAACTAAATCCAACAAGGTAAGTCACACTAGACGAACCATGTATAACAAATAAAATCCAATTTAACCAGTTATTTAATAACACGTATACTAACTTATCTAATATTTTTTTAATAGAAAATTAATTAATTTAGTTGAAATTGCAATATGCCCCTCATCTCTTTTCTTTTTTCTCCTCGTAAACATTTCTACCCTAATTTTTTTCTTTCTCTTATGTGATTCCATCGACATTCCAGTCCTATTTTCTAGTGATGCTGACGACCGTCGAATGCCTCCACCGAAGTCGCCACCAACGCGTTATGTTTTTTTTTTCTTTTATTTTTTTTATTGGGTCATGAGAATGTTAGAATTTCAATGGAGCGGAAAGAGTAATTGTAAGTGCTTTTTCAACCTTATAAAATATGGATTACACTCAAAACAATATAGTTGATGAATTACTGCAAAAACATGAAGCTACTGCGTGCGCAAAGAAGAACGGCAAACTACTCAACAAACTATGCGAAAAGAAAACTGCGCGAGAGTGAAGAAAATAGAATGGATAGGGAAAAAAGATTCAGATTTTACCAACAACGTGAAATTTTTCTGCAGTGATATCCTTCTGAGATTTCGCTGATCAACTTCAACATACTCAAAATACATGTTATATAATGCATCACGGACCTTCATCGCATTGGTACGTGCATTACTCTCATCGTATATTATATTGAAAGAAAACTCAACTAACTTCATTTTGAATCTAGGATCAAGTAATGCTCTAATAACCATTAAAAGGTGGCAACATCCCCAATACTTGTCAAACTTTTGCTTCATCTTGTGAATCATCACCCTAATGAACTCGTCAATGTGATTTCATTTATCATTCAAGACATGTTTCATTCTCCAAATAACAACAAAATAACATTTGAAATAGGATAATGAGCTCCAGAAATTACATGAGTAGCTTCATAGAAAACCTATAATATGTCAATAACATCCTTCACCTTATTCCAATTATCAAGGCTGAGACAATAAGTGTACAAAGACTCTCTTTGTTGAAATATAGGGAATGCATACTCTAAAGGCCTCAACTAACATCTCATATGTAGAATTTCAATAAGTTGGACAATCAATTATTAATCTTTTAATGGATATTCCAAAATGATGCACGATATCATAAAGTTTTCTCAACCTAGACTCCGACTGACATGTAAATCACACTATTTCTGACATCTTCAATGATATGTCTAATCTCAGAAAGACCATCTTGAACCACAAGATTCAATATGCAGTGCATCGAATATGAAATAACTGACCTTCCAAAGGCAACTTACAACTTTTAGAAAATGTTTCTTTAGCAATTTGAATTTCCGCATCGTTATTGAAAGCATTGTCCACAGAGATAGTGAAGACTTTATGTTCTATTCCCCATTCATTCGTACTCTTTATAAGTCCATCATTGATATCAACCCCTAAAATGTCAATTAACATATAATTATTGTTAGTAACTATGATAAATATATATATACATATTTAAGTAAAATATTATATTACATGTATGTGGAGGAGGGAAAGACAAAAAACTAAGAAGTCGCTTTTGGAATTGTCAATGTGAATCGACAAAGTGGCCGGTAACATACATATAGGAAATATTTTGCATTTTTAACTTTCAAATGTTTGTAGTCAAGGAAATTTTGTTGACATCTTTTAACTTCAAATGCAACATTTTATTTTCTATTTCATATACATTAATAACATCATTTTTTGCCATAGCACAAAAAATCTTCTGATATTATGGTTGATTTATACTTAACATATAAGTAAACCCATAGTTTTCCACAATGTTAAATGACTGCTCATTCATCAAAATCCAAAGGGCAACGGCTTCTCTTTGTTTCGAATGATCATATCTACCATCTGACAAAGGATTCATCTCAATTTTGGATTGGACTAGCTGAAGCTAAAAAGTTTTTTGTTTTTATTATAAAATCTTTTTTTGCAAGCACCTCCTTAAGTGATTCCAAAGATAAAATGTTGCACCCGATGTTGATTTAGTCAGAGAAGTTTTGCAACGTATACATTGAAATTTTGTACTTCTATTATCCAAAGCTACTTCAATGAAATCTGTATAAGCTTTTGAACATTTTTTTCTCATTTTCTTTTGAAAATGACATTTCTTTTCCTCTCCATCATCTTCTTTATTATTTTTCCGATTATCTTCCGTTTCATTATCCTCTCTTCATCGGTATTTATATTTTTCACATGTCTTGCTCCATTACTGTCATTTAATGAAATATCACCTCTACAAAGATCATTTCCCTTCTCTCGAATACTATCTTCTTGAATGACTAATTATATTTAGGGATGACAATGGGTCCGAGTTGACCCGAAACCCGACCCGAACCGACCTATTTATTTGGGATCGGTCCAATTATTCAGGTATCGGGTCCAGGTCCGTGTCGGGTATTGTGTACCCTTATCGGGTCCGGGTCCGGGTAGGGTCCACCTTTAGACCCGGACCCGATTAATATATTATTAATATACTAATTACATATATATAAATTAATTTTTAGTAATATAAATTATGTTAAAAATTTGTTTTTAGATTTATTTATTATTATTTTATTATAATATTTTTGAATAAAATATATAAATTTTAATATATATCGGGTCTGGATGGGTTCGGGTTCGGATCCAATTTTAAAAATAAAAAAAATTCAGATCTGTCAGGTCCATTGGGTCTTGTTGGATATTGTTCGGGTCGGGTCCGGTTGGGTTTCAGGTCTAACCATGTGTATTCGGATCGGGTTCGGTTGGGTTTCAGGTATAACCATGTGTATTCGGGTCGGGTTTCGGGTCCGCTGGACCCGACCCATTATCATTCCTAATTTTATTATATTTGAATTATCCATAATCCTGCAATATAAACTTAAATGATTAGATAATATTGATTTTGATGTAAAAATAGAGAAATATACAAAATAAGTAAAAATAAAACTACAAAATAACATAATAAATAAAAGAAAATAATAAATAAAAATATATAAAAATACCAACCTAAAAAATGATTGAGAAAGTTGTCGATAAACTATTAGAAAACAAAATGAATTGGTTTAATATTCTATTGAAAAAAATAAAGAAAAATACACATTAATAAAAAATTGAAGAATAATAAAAATTTATAGATAATGTTTTTTTTCTTAAGAAAAATAAATAACAACCTAAACCTAAAGATCAAGATAATAAAAAAAATAAGATTTTTTATGAACTACATCAAATTAGGACACTATACTCTAAAAAAAAATAAAGAAAAATACATATTAGTAAAAAAATACTACAACATAAAAATTAAACACTACCAAATAATAATAAAAAAAAATAACCAAAAAAACAAAAAAAAGAGAAATAAGAACCTTAATAGTTACCGAGATCAAGAAGATAAATAAATGAAATAATCTCTACTGCAAAGATAGAAAAAATATTACTGCAATGTATATTGCATTAAAAAAAAAACAACAAAATAATACTAAAAAGAAAAAATAGACAACAAACTTGGGGAAAACAAAGATGAGAACAAGAAAATAGCAACCAATTGTTGAAGAATCAAAGACAATGTAGGAAAGTAGTCCCGGGATGGCTTGGTGTTGGGGTCGATTTGAGATCCAGAGATCACAAGTTCAAATATGAGATGTTTAAAAAAAAAAAAAAAAAAAAAAAAAAAAAAAAAAGTATAATATATATCCATTATCCACTAGTAAAAAATTAATTATCAACACAAAATATTATTTTTATATAGTTATTTGTGTAAAATTTAAATTGTAATATTGAATATATTATTTTAGAATTTATATGAAATTATTTATGTTAATATATTATTTTTATAATATTATTTTATTTATATTAGTTATACGTTTTTTTTAATAATATTATAAATAATTTTATTTCAATTTAATTAATTTAAAATAATAATATTAATATATATAGTATATATAATTGAAAATATATATTATTTACTATTCAATAATATTAAAATATACCATCTCCGTTCCATTTAATTTGTCTCATATTTCTATTTTTGTTCGTCCTACATAATTTTTCATTTTATTTTTTGAAAATATAATTATATATTTTAATTATATTTTAAAATTTATAATTTATAAATTTTTTATTTTAATTAAATTATTTAATTATTAGTTGAGACAGAAGAATGATATTTTTTTCTTAAACAAAAAATTATTCTAAAATAATAATATTAAAAATATATACTAATATAGATAATATTATCCAAGTAGAATATTTACAAATATGAATCGAATATTAAAAAAAATTGTGTTTAAATAATATTCGAATCAAATTATTATATACGAATTTTAATCGTAAATTTTTAATACGAATTTCGAATCAACCAATTGAACAAAAATATTTTTATTAGTTGACAACCTATACTCACCTTCCTTCTTCTTCTACGTTGCTTTGCCGCCTTTCCATTTTTTATTTTTTTTATTTTTAAAGTCGCCCTCTGGAACATTCTGTGAGGTTTTTTTTTTACTCCTCTGATTCTTCCTCTGCTTTGGTGTCAAGGAAATTGAGTTTATTTTAATATTTTTGTTATCTTTTTTCTCATTTTTTTTATTTAAATTTTATTTCGCAACTTCTTCCGCCGGTGGTCGCCGCCGCCGCCGTCATATCATTTTTTTTAATCTTCTTTCACCTTGCTGTTCGGCGCTGTGAATGTCTGAAAGGTAAGTTTCTGACCTTTCTCTTTTACCTTGCTGCTTGCGGTGACTGTGTTCTTCTAAACGTTGATAATAGTTCAAGTATTTGCAGCAAATTCTATACATATATATATTATATTTATGTTTTTGCTGTTTTAATGGATATATTCGGAAGTCATTGTTGGATTTTTGCTGGTTCAGTCAATTTTGAAAATCGTATATCAATGGATGAGACAATGATGTTGTTATTGTATTGTAATTTTCTCTTCCCTTTTGACTTGCCTAAGTGTACTGTGCTGCTATTGGCAGATCAAAATTGTTGGGGCACAAAGAGATTCTGATAAGTGACTGCCAATTAGAGGGACAAAAGAGGGAAATAAGTAGTGGCTTATCCATGGACGGAGCAGAATTGCTGGAGTTGGTAAGAAAGTAAGAAGTGATGACAGTAGTTCAACAATGGGCGGAATAGATACCAATGGGCACAATGAAGATTTGCTTAAGAAGGCCGAGAACAAAAAGAAAGAAAGAGGAAAGAAAGAAAAGTTGCAGATCTTGTCAGCACAGCATGGTGGGGAGGAATGTGAGGAAAAAAAGATGACGTTGAAAAAGAAAACAAGAGGAAAATGAAGCAGTCAAAATCAGTGAAAAATGGATTTGATGAAATAAGGGATGACAGATTGTCTACTAACAAAGAAAATAATCAAATTGGCAAACTAGAGAAAAATGATTCTCATGACATGCAAGATGATTGTATAAAATCAGCTATGAAAGGATTGAAGAAACGAAACAAATTTGTGGAGAATGGTCCAAGTGACCGACTATCTCATCATAGTAATAAGAAGGTGAGGTTTATGGCCCAGGATGAGGTTTTTCTTGTACCAAGTGATTTGAATACTGAAAAAGAAAATGGTGATAAAGATAAAGTGGTGTTGGGGAAGCGGTTCACACGTGAAGAAGATGAGATTGTCAAAGAGGCTGTTCAAAAGTGCATAGAGGAACATGACTTGGGTGAGGAAGGTTTGGACATGGTCTTGAACTGTAAAAAGCAGCGTCAAGTGAAAGGTTGTTGGAAAGAAATAGGGTCTGCCATACCATACCGACCATATGTAGCTGTCTACTACCGTGCTCAAATTTTGTTTCGAAGGTCTGAGAATCGGAAGTGGACTCAAGAAGAGTATGATGCAGTTTTGAAATATAAAAAAAAGCATGGCAACTGTTCTAAAAAAATAGCGGAAGAACTTGGAAAGCATAGATTTCATGTAAAGGATACTTGGCGGAACCACCAGAATATAAAGGGCATGTAATATCAAAAATTGTTCAATCTAGTAAACCTTGACCTACAGTTGAAAGTATTTGGTGAGAAAAAGTCCAAGTATGGAATGCTGCGGGACAATATTCCTTGGACAGCTATAAGTGATTAGTTATCCACTCGGTCTCAAGCAAATTGCTGTCTTAAATGGTACAACCAGTTAAGCTCACCTATGGTACTACTGGAAGGCTTGTGGGCTGATCTAGATGACTATCGCTTGCTAGATGCCCTTTATAGCTTCGATGCCACTTGAATGGAAGATGTTGACTGGGATAATCTTCTTGATAACAGATCTGGAGATGTGTGTCGGAAGCGTTAGAATCAAATGGTTCTGCACATTGGTCCGTATGGTAAAAAGTTATTTGCCGAACAATTTGAAGTATTGGCCCAGCGGTATTGCCCCCATCTTATTGAGGCAAGAGAGACATGGGATAGCAAACCAAGGGTTCCATAATACTGCTGATCATAGGGTATGTCTGTGCTCTTCAATAATATTTGCATTAGTTCTATGTGTTATTTGTTGTTCATTCGTTTTTGAGTTTCTTGTTTTTGCATTCCTTTTGATGGTTGATATATTTGCACTATTCAATATAACGTATATATTATTGTCATTCTTGAACCTTGTTTTACTCAAAAAACTGTTTAATGCTTTCACTAGGGCATGGGATCCTGGCTCCCAACCCCTCCAAGCCCCTAGCCCCATCTATAGGAGGGCGACTTGTGGAATCTATGTTTTAGTCCTTCCCACCTCTTCTATCTTCATACTGCGGGTTGTTTTTTCCTTTGTGCGATTCGGCTTCCAACTCTATGTTCCAACCCACCATCCATCATCAAGGATGTTGAGTCTTGCTCTCTGTATGTGTATGATTTTGTGCAATTTCTTGTGTGTTGTGAAAATTTTCTTTTTGTCAGATTTTGTCCATTTCAATTAATATGTAAATTTCTAAAATCTCGTGTATTCCTTTGGTCGCGCAGCTGAAATTCAGGCTGTCTGCGGTTTTGTGAGTTGTGTTTGGAGAGGTTTGATTTTGAGTACTTCATTTCGGCGTTTCCCAGCTCCCCGCGGTGTATGAAGTAGCATCTCATTATGTCAATGTTCTGGATCTTCATTACTTTCAGCTATACCACTGGGAAGAAGTAAAATGATCTGAGATTTATTTAATTTTGGTAATTTCTATATATTGCTATGACATGTTAGCTTACCATGAGATGCAAATTGCAATACAATTTGATTTGAAATGGCATTCTCTCGTGTTATTCCTTCTTACACGGAAAGAAGGAATTCTATGCAGAATAGTATTTGTTTTGTTTATGGAACATCATATGTTGGGAATGTGGTAGTGACGCTCAACAAGAATATTTTATGCACCTTCCATTAATCCTAAAATTGTAGTTTAGTGTGCAAGATAACATTTTCTGATCTGTTTGATCCAATTGATTATTTATATATTCTTTGCCTTGCACTGTTATTCCAAGAGTCTTTGGCATCAATATGATATATTTTGGGGTTGATAGAATTTTCCAAGTTAACTCATGTTGTATGTACTATTTTTTAGACCCTTGTGCTTAGTTGAGCACATGTTGCTTTATATTGAAACTGAATTGAACCTTCCTGGTATAAAGATTAGGCCAGTTTCTGGACTAGTAGCCACTGATTATTTTGTTTGGGCAGTTCTACTTGTCGACTTGGCTTGCATTGCGTACGATGACAAAAATATGTACATGGCAGCTTATGATTGGAGGCTCCTCATTCCAAGTTACAGAGGTATGCTACTTTCATTGTACTCTTTGTTGAAAAGCTACTATTATGGCAAGCAGTTTAACTGAATAAAAACAGTATGCTTATTATCTGCTGAAGCAACGGATATAGCCATTGCAAGGTTTTGGTTTTGATTTTGTTTCTGTTTCTTGATCCGACATTGAATATTTTTGTATCAATGTGCTTGTCCTTCAATTTATTTTATTTTTTCCATGATTATAAAGTGGCTGAACTAGGTCCTAGGTGCACTGTAAATAAGTTTATATACTGCATTATACTCGAGCACTGTTTCCTGTGAAGCTTAGGATTTTATTGCAACCACAATGATAGCTGGGTTGTTTGCTGTATATCTTTTGATAATTTAAACTGGATGGCATTCTTTCATCTCTGTATAAACCCATTGATCCCATCTTCTACGTACAGAAGCTCCACTGTTGATTGCAAAATTGAAACTTTCAGAAGGCCGATTAATTATAACTGTTGATGTATTTTTTCAATAAACAGAAAGTAAAATTCAAAGATATGGAAAATATCTTTAAACTTGATTAAGTTTAATCAGCGCCTGAGATTAGGAATCTCTAAACACTGTACGGTACATAAAAGAAATTAATTGGAAATTAAATGCTGAAAATTTAAAGTGGTGATCCCCGAATTTGACTTTGGTTTGTTGAAGTTGATTGAAGATTCTTTTTCCAGAAAAATCCAAATCTTTAAATACTCTCTGAGAAATTGTACTGGAAACCGTCGCCCGAACGGTTACAACGTCTCATTTTCAACCGTCTGCCAACCCTTCTCCTGCTGACACGTGTCCTCAGCAATCCAAATTATCACTCTATTTCACTCTTTGAGCCGACCACAGACCTTCCGCCCTTTTGGCCCGACTGCCAATCCTCCCGACTTGCAAACCATCCGACTTATTTGGTCCAGCCGCAAACCTCTCGATTAATAGACCATCCGACTTATTGGTCCAGCCGCAAACCTCCCGACTAACAAACCATCCGACTTATTGGTCCAGCCGCAAACCTCCTGACTAACAGACCATCCGACTTACTGGTCCAGCCGCAAACCTCCCGACTAACAGACCATCCGACTTATTGGTCCAGCCGCAAACCTCCCGACTAACAGACCATCTGACTTACTGGTCCAGCCGCAAACCTCCCGACTAACAGACCATCTGACTTATTGGTCCAGCCGCAAACCTCCCAACTAACAGACCATCCGTCCTGATGACTTCCCGACCTAAGGACTTCCCGACCTAAGGACTTCCGACCTGAGGACTTTCCGACCTGAGGACCTCCCGACTTGAGGACCTTCCGTCCTGATGATTTTCCGTCTTGAGGACTTTCCGTCTTGAGGACTTCCCGACCTAAGGACTTTCCGTCCTGATGACTTTCCGTCTTGAGGACTTTCCGTCTTGAGGACTTCCGTCTTGAGGACTTCCCGACCTGCATTTTCCTTAGAAATAAACCAATTTTCCTTGAGTTCCCCGCCGTACCCTTCAACCAGTTCGATCAACTCTATTGCCAGGCCCATTTTTCTTGTATCTTGGGCTTTTTAATCTAATTCTAAATTTCATACGTAACAACTTGCCCACCGCCAAGGGACTTTCAAACGCCATTTATCAATCGTCGTTTGGAAGTTCATAAATCACAACCCTCCTGAAAAATCCCTTAGCAACTGCACCAGTTACTGCAACACTCTTGATTAACTTCCCTTTCTTCAATACGAGCCTTTGTGAATCATAATATCTACAACCTTAAACATGGCGAATCGATACATCCCTGCACTCCCTGTCGATGGATCAATCCCTGAAACCACTCTTGTGGCGACGAAAATGCGCACCCAACTGTTCGTCCATACTGCACAACTGCTGAAGACTCCAATCGTATGAGAGAAGTCTTGGAGGCAAGGAATCTGCTGGCGATCAACAACCCCAACTACAATGCAACCCGTCTTCATGACAGCATTAAAACACACTTGACAGACCTCAAGGATCCCTACCGCACCTGGTACCAGAGAGTAGCAGAACATTACCAGGAGCAATGGAAAACTCAACAAATCGATCAGGCCATATTTCTGTCAACTCTCCCATGTCATTTACATGAAAAAGTCCTCTTGGCTATGGCGGCGTTCTGGCACCCTGAGATTTGTTCCTTTCTTCTTCCAACAGCCCCTATCGGCCCCACCCTTATGGATGTGGCCATGATCGCGCACTTGCCAATTGTTGGGGAAGACCCTGTAATGGGTGCCCGAGATGGGCAAGAATCCAACTCAGACTACTTGGGTTGGTCTTTGACAGATGTGAAAGAATGGGGCTGGACTAAATTTCTAATCAATCAACAAGGAACAGACGGGACCCCTGTAACCGATCGAGAACACATAGCCTTTCTGCTCTTTTGGCTCTGTAAGTATGTAGTTGTTTCTCCTTCGAAATGTGTCCTCCCTTCTCATCTTGACCTTGCCATACACATAGCCTCGGGTCGGTTCTTCTCATTAGGCACCCTTTTCCTTGCCAATCTCTTTGAAGGGTTATCCAGGGTCAGTGTCCGCCTTACTGATAAAGATGGTAAGAAGTTAGACAATGCTGCGTCGGGTCCTTTTTGGTTCCTGGAACTATGGTTCCGTCTCTATTTTCCCGACGCCTTCCAACTTGGTCATCCTCATGTTGCCCCCACACTTGAGAATTCTCTAGGAGTAGCCCTTAACCGACTTTGCTTAGGTCGTAATAACCTCCAAGCGTCTGATCCAATCATAACTGCTATGCTTACTGATAATCGAAATGAGAACCATTTTTACCCACACAAAATGTATATCGGTTATGCATCCGGCGTGTTTTGGCCATTCCCTGTTCCATCACCTTTGTCTCAACCAAATCCACTTCCACATCCAACTTACCCTTTTTCCTGGGATGTTGCCCTTAAACCCAGATCTTTATTTACCAGCAAGAAAATCGATAAAAAGGGCCCCAAAATATTTTATACCTACAACTATCAGCCTCAATTTGTGGCACGCCAATTTGGCTGCTAACAAGGCTTGCCTGGTCCTATTGCTCATCCCCATCTAACAATTCAAAGTCCGGATGGGAGAGCTATTTTTGATGCAATTGCCCCATACATATCCCAACTCATAAATTACATCACCTCTAATTCTTATATTCCTTACAAACCTTCTCCAACTTCCGTTGAATCCTTTCGGGAGTGGTGGTCGGTTACTTGGGCCTTGATTTCACCTGACAAGGATCGTTTACTGGGCATACTTCTTCCCCCACCTGCAATAACTTTAGGGGCGAATCCTCTGACTAATACCCAAAGAAACCTGATTACTCAAGGCAATGAGTCGGGTGCTCCACAAAGAAAAAGGAGAGCCTTTCAGACTCAAACTATTCCGCCCTTTGGGGACAGTCAACCATCCTCCACAAAACGCCTATCAGGTCGGCCCCCTATAAGGTCCCGACCCCGTCCAGGTATAATCCCATACCCTCAATTTAACTTAATCCTTTCCTTAACATGGTATTGATCCTTAATTCTATATTTAGGAGTGGCTTCTGCTCGAGCGACCGCCCAACCTACTTCTAGACCAACTAAAACAATGAAGCCACCGACCGACCCACTACCTGAACCTGAGCCCCCGATCAAGCGCCGGGCACCGAATAAAATGCCTTCATCCACCGAACATGCAACAATAAGAGTTTCATCTCCTAGTGAGGCGACTGCTTCAGATATGAACAGGTTACCTCATGTTGCTTCTGCTGTCTCTGATGCAACCGTCCCAGATACATCCAACCAAAGAGCAACCGACTTGGAGGTTGCCGACCCAGGGGCAGCCGCCTTGGAGGTTGCCGACCCAGGGGCAGCCGATCCTCCTCTAGCAGCGGGTAGACAGGATGAAGAACCTTTGCATGTTCAACCAAGAGGTCTCTTACCGGAATTACCAGAAATCCCCTCATCTGACTCAGAAACCTCTGTTAACTTGGTAAACACTCCGACTCTTCATTCCAATTAAAACCTGATGTTCATTTGATATCAAGTACATCTTATTCTCATCCTTCAGGGACCTAGATCTAAACCTCAACGCCCATTGGAAGCAACTGACGAGTCGGCTATTGGAATACCAAATGACCAGCCCTCCAAACTTATGGCTATTTTGGCTCCTTCAACAACCATCATCCGTCCAGAGGTATGAGCAACCTTCTCACAATCAATTTTCAATATTCATTCTTCATTCAGTCTGAGATAAACATCTTTTATTTCAGGGATATTCTGATCTAGCCCTGTTGTCGGCCGTCCTTATTCCGACTGACGTCCGAGCTATAATTGCACAGGCTGTTGACCAATCTTTCCCCGACCTGGGGTCAGATTTGCTGGACAACCTTCTTCAAGGCATTGGTGGTCTCTTGTTCCAACTGTCTTCAGAGTCGGCTGCTGCCCCTATTCTTCACTACCTGATGGAGCGACTATCCGAACTCAGAAATGAAGTCCTGTTCGCCCAACTTTTGACAGCTGAGACACCCTTGCCTGATTTGGATCGAATAAGCCTGGAGGCTTCCTTGACCAAAACCAAGGAATCCATTCAACAAGCAGTCAGTCGACTGGAAGGCCTGAACAACGCCAAGGCCCAAATAAAAGGGTCAATCCAGCAGAAAGAAGCAGAGCTGAAGGCGCTCCATCAAGAGAGGTCTGTCCTGGAAGGACATATCAACGATGAGCAACGCCTGATTGATCGGTACCAAAGCAATGCAGCGGACCTAGATCAGGAGTTGAAGATTCACGCCCGATCCCAACTCATAAAGCAGTACCAGTCGGCTGCTAATAACAGGCGACGCTTCAGATCCGAAGACAAATGGTCCCAAATAAAACTTGCATTAGGATCTCTTTTGTAATTCTTGACTTGGTAAATAAAATTTTTCTCCTCTTATTGAGGATCGCCTCCTATATTCCCCACTCTTCAGGAACAGAACAAATCATTTCCTTATAAATATTTGTTGCTCTTGTAAATCATCAAATAAACATTGACTCATAAATCAACCTTGCATATGCCTGCCACATAATATTAAAATGCCTCCCCACCGTCCTTATGTTCCTGTCAACAATTGGCAAGGTGTCATCCAACCCTTTTTCATGGGTAACCATCCAGTTGGAGGTCACGCTGAAGACCTGCTATTCCTCCTCAAACAATTGGATTTCAAATTCAGGTTTTCCCAATGAGGCAGAAAAACCATCCATCGTGTCATTCGCCTGATGGAGAACGTGCTAGAAGGGTATGAGACCCTTCGAGATATCCAAAGTCGCCTTCCCGACATCGATCATCATGGATTTGATTGAACATCATGTGACAGCCATACTCCCAGACCTTGGCTGGGATCACACTTTCTCTAATCAACGTGTAGTCTTTTCAAGATTACGCACTTTTGTTGACCGTGAACGCCAAGCCTTGACAGACATGAAAGGCCGAACTGACTATGATCTTGAGAAAATGCAAGATCAGCGGGAGAAGTACCGACCTAGCTTAGAAGACCTTATTGATGAAGACCCAGAAGTAATCCCTAATCACTGGAATGATGATTCTGACTCAGGAGAAAGCAACCCTCAGCACGATTCAACATCTGAAAATGAATGAACCCTTATTAGGTTCGAACCCTTGGCAAATGGGTTCTGAAAACTTACTGTTTCATGTTTTCTTGTAACCTGAAAAGGCAGGAAAATACCTCTTCAGATATCTAGCATTAATACATTCATGTACCCTTTTACCTTCTTGATTTATAATAATATAGGCACCATTTCCAATTTCCTTTTGAATTATGAATGGTCCCTCCCAATTTGGAGACCACTTTCCTAATTGATTGACCTTCTTGTAAGTTGGCAGAATAGTTTTCCAAACCAAGTCTCCTTCTTTGAACGTTCTGTAAAAGATCTTATTTCCATAGGTCTTGGCCCTGACCTCATTTTGCTTCAGAATCTGATCAATTGCATGAAGTCGGTTGACATCCAGACTTTCCAACTGCTGCAACATCATTTGTTGATACTCTTCAGTAAATTCATCATTAGTAAAACTTGTGCGTCCAGATGAAACTTGCACTTCGGCTGGCAACACAGCATCTTGTCCAAAAGTGAGTTGATATGGTGAAAACCCTGTGGCAGAACTTCTGTTATTCCTATGTGCCCATAAGGCTCGAGATAATAACAAATGCCATTTCCTTGGGTTCCCCTCGATTGTTTTCTTGATAATCCGAATAATAATCTTGTTAGCTGCTTCCGCCTGCCCATTAGCTTGAGGATAATAAGGCGAGGAATGATTCAACCGAATGCCAAATTCTGCCAAGAAACTCACAAATTTCTCCCCAGTAAAGACCAGACCTTGGTCGGTTGTTAATGAATGAGGTATACCATATCTATAGATTATCTGATTCAACATAAAACCAATAACCTCCTTCTGATCCATGCTTTTCAAAGCAACCGCCTCCACCCATTTGGTAAAATAGTCTGTTGCAACCAAGATAAAACAATGTTCTTGGATGAGGGAGGATGGATTTTTCCAATGATATCCATAGCCCAAGATTTAAAGGGCCATGGTTTTACCATAGCTTGTAACTCTGTGACTGGCGAATGAATTAATTGTCCATGCCTCTGACATTCTTGACAGCCCTTGGCAAATTGTATGCAATCTTAAAAAATCTTTGGCCAAAAGAAACCTAACCTATGTATGGCCCATCTCATGTTCAGACCTGCTCGATAGCTCCACACACTCCACTGTGTACCTCTATCATCACTTCCAAAGCCTGCTTGGGACCCAAACACTTCAAAAGCAATCCTTCGAATGTCCTTTTATATAACACTCCTTCTACCAATTGAAATCGCAAAGCTTTCAATCAAATTCCAATTGGTACATTTGCTCCTGGATCTTGCAAATACATGACAAATTCTGTCCTCCAGTCGGTTCCTACGTCAGTCTGCCAGATGGTTCCTTCTTCAATCCTCCAGTCGGCTCCTGTTTCAAACTCAGGGCCGACCTCTGTGCACATATCTTTCAAAATTCCTTTGCAAGCTTTTTGAGCTAAATCATCCGCAAACTGATTCTCCTCTCTAGGAACGAACTCGATTATCACTTCGGAGATCTTTGATAACAACCGACCTACCAAATCCCTGTACCTCCGAAGCTGGGGATAATTGCAAACATATTTTTTGTTTACCTGGTTAATCACCAATTGAGAGTCCCCTTTTATAATAACCGACTGAACTTTTCTGGCTATCAAGGCTTTCAATCCCAAGATCAAAGCTTCATATTTTGTTGAATTATGGGTCATATCTTCCAATTGAAGCTGCAAATTGACCCTTTGGCCGTCTGGACCTTCCAACAGGACGTCTGCACCAGATCTGTTTCCTGAGGTAGAACCATCAAAGAACATTAACCAATTTCGGGTGCTTACATAAGGTATACACCCGGTCTGTTGCTCTTCACAACCTGTGAAGTCTGCCAAAAAATCTGCCACTGCTTGGCCTTTGACCGCCCTCAAGGGAGAATGATACAAATCGAAGGGAGCTAATTTAATGGCCCACTTCATGAGTCTGCCTTGCATTGTAGGCCTTTGCAAAATTAACTTGATGAGATCAAACTTTGAGAAAACCTCAACTCTCCTAGGCAGCATATAATGTTCAAGCTTGGTGCATGCAAACACCAATGAATAACACATCTTCTCTGGCATTGTATAATTCAATTCTGGTCTTGTGAGAGTTTTGCTCAAATAATAAATTGCCCTTTCCTTTCCATCATCTCCATCTTGAGCTAACAAGCAACTGACCACTTCATGAGTATTTGCCAAATAAAGTTTGAGGGTCCGACCTTCCTTGGGAGGCATCAACACAGGTGGTTGAGTTAATGCCTGCTTTATAGCTTCCAAAGCCATCTGTTGGTCTGGCCCCCACTCAAAAGGGCTTCCTCCTGCCTTCAATAATTTAGTGATTGGCCTGACCTTGCCAGCCGCATTGGAAATGAACCGCCTGAGATAGTTCATTTTTCCCAACATACTTTGAATCTCTTTAACTGTCTGAGGTGGTCTGCTGGTAAGAATTGCTTTGGCTTTGTTAGCATCGATCTTGATACCCCTCTCATAAACCAAGAACCCCAAAAAACTCCCAGCTGTTATACCGAAAGCACACTTAGTTGGGTTCATTTTCGGTTTGTATCTCTTCATCTGACCGAAAGCATCCTCAAGATCCTTCAAATGTTCCTCAAAACTAGAAGACTTGACAATAACATCATCAATGTAGACTTCCATAGACTTACCAATGAGGTTATGAAAAATTGCATTCATGGCCCTCTGATAAGTCGCCCCAGCATTTTTCAAGCCAAAAAGCATAACTGTCCATTCATAAATGCCTAATGCTCTTGGACACCTAAATGTTGTCTTGTGAATATCTTCTTCTGCCAGAGAGATTTGGTTATATTCTGCATAACATCCATCAAACTGAGAATCCTGTGCCCTGCTGCTGAGTCAATTAACACGTCGGCCATAGGCATCACATACTCGTCTTTAGGGGTAGCCATGTTAAGATCTCTGAAATCAATGCATATTCTGATTTTACCATTTTTTTTTAACCACTGGTACAATGTTGGCCAACGAGTCTGCATAACGGCAAGGTCGGATGAAACCCACTTTAAGAAGCTTCTGAATCTCTTCTTTAATCTGAGGCATCAGGTCAGGACTCATACGTCTTGGAAACTGTTTACAGGGCTTGAAATCCTTCTTAATGGGCAATCGATGTTCTATCAGACTTCGCTCCAGACCATGCATTTCTGAATAGTCCCAAGCTAAACATTCAATATTGTTTCTTATAACTCCGAGCATCGATGTTTGTTGCTCTTTAGACAAATAAACACTCATTCTGATTATTTTTGGAACCAGGTCGGTTTCTAAGTTAAATTCCAGCAAAGGATCTTGTGCTGAAAAAGTTGGCTCTGTTTTTTCTAATAAATCGGGCCAACGAAATTGTTCATATTCTTGAGAATAAACATTATGTATGTTTTTGACTTTTTCTACTTTTTCAAGAGCTGATCTAAGTAATACTTATTAATAAGTAAGCTACAATCTTGTAATTCTGTTTCTTGCATAAGGAAAGTATTATATAAAAAGTAGGTCTGGCTTACTTAAGAGCCACATAATACACCTTGGTCTTTTAAAAGAACATTGAATTCTGGCCAATGAATTTAAAACCCTTCTTTGGGTAGTCATTAGCCATAAGAAAATGATACATTGGAGGTACATAACCAGAATAGAAAACTGATTCTTCTACTTGTTCTGATGCTTCAAAAGGATTGTCATTTGCCTCCATTGTGAAGACCTGGTTGCCTTCCCAGAACATCAATTGTTGATGCAGTGTTGATGGCACACACTTAGATGCATGAATCCAATCTCGTCTAAGCAGGATTGAATAGGTGGTATCTGCATCCACCACGAAGAAAACAAACGAAATCTTCTTTGGGCCGACTTCAATGGAGGCGACCAGCACGCCTTCTGGTTTGGTCGGTTGCCCAGTAAAGCTAGTCATCTCAAAATCTACAAGAGATAGATCCTGAATCCCCTTCCCTAATTTTTTGAGTCTTTAATGGCATTACATTAAAAACGGCCCCATTATCTATGAAAACCTTTGTAATTGGTTTCCCACAAATATGAGCATTAACATACAGGGGCTTCAAACGAGACGCTACACCTTCTGGAATAGGAAGGAAGACTATTGGAGGGACTTCTAATTGAGAGTCAGGGTCTGCAATGTTTGCCCATTCTGGCTCTTCTATAGACTCATCCATCAGACTTGCCCACAGAGGCTCTTCCTCAACCCAATTAATTTTTGTCATTCGGCAGGGGATACGTGGCCCTATTCGAGATTTGACAGACCTTGAATCTTTCTCTGGAACTTTGTTATCAACTTCAAATTCGGGTTGAACAGTCAAAGACTCCAAACGAAACTCCTCTATTGATGGATTGAAGTTAACCTTCTCACAATGTTGACATCTGAAACCCTTAACTCTTTCATCTGACAAGCCCTTATCTATCTTCCGCATGGACTGACCTCCCTCATTGCACCGGACGCTGGTCAGCTGCTCAGAAGAGGCTCCCCCAATGAACCGACCTTCCCCTGCCTCATTCGGCTGCTCAAACGAAACGACCCTGATGAACCGACCTTGCTCAGTATACTTGGCAGTGCCTCGGCTGTCGTTCGGTTGCTTTGATGAGGCGACCTTGTCTCTGTATCTCGCAGCATATCTGCGTTTGGCATTCCGAATCTGAGTACGATTT